CTTGAAAACGTCTGCTAATTCCATGAAGCTATGTTATGATACGAAATCTACTGAAGTCATCTTTGTACCAGGAGACAAGGTGTGGTTGTATAATCCCAGGAAGACCAAAGGGAAGTCTCCTAAGTTGTCTTATCCATGGGAAGGCCCATATGACATAGTGGATCGTCTCTCAGACGTGACTTTCCAGAGAAATTAAGAAGATTTATTTGAAGACCAACTGAGTCAGATGTGTGCATTACGAAGCAAAGAATACGTCTGAAGTGCTGATTTTACACACCTCTGACTCAAAATATATAATTGCACAAATAAAAAGGACGTTAAAAACATACCTTTGGTCAAACATAATATCAATATATTTTACTATGTCTAAGAAACTTCCTTGTTTCGTCAGCTTAGGCCTTTCACACCACTGCAATAAATTGATAAATGTTAGTGTTATTTTGTTTTTATTAGATGGATACACATTGCCCAAAGGGACTACCTGTATTATCCTAACTTATATGTTACATCGAAATGAAGAAGTTTTTCCTAACGCAGAAAAATTTGATCCAGATCGTTTCTTGCCTGAGAACTGTATAGGTCGTCATGCTTTTGCCTATACCCCTTTTTCTGGTGGCCCGAGAAACTGTATAGGTATATTTTATCTTTCTCAATTACCAGTACTATCTAGAAATTTTTTGTGCATAAATTCACTATGTATTTTGGTACTGAGTTTATTGAATCAAACATTTATGTTAATCCCTTTTCTCCTCTGATGAAATTATATGTGTATATATATATATATATGTATAATATTCTGTTTGTTTTAGAGCCAAGCCACATTGGGGAATCGAACCCTCTATTTTAGCGTTGTAAGTCCGTAGACCTTCCACTGTTCCATTGGGGAACATTATGAAACAAATTATATTATATTATAATGAAAATTATATTTTACTTAAAAAGTGCTGTGTTGCTGTCCCTTGTTAATTAAAAAACTTTCAACATTCTTGTATTTGTTGAAATCATTATGTGCCAGGTAAAGAATCACATGTAATATAAACTGGTTTTAAACCCGTGGAGTCGTATTTTTATGTGTATGTTATTGTTTATCTTTTACTTGTTAGTAGAGTAAATGACACCCGTGGATAGGAATTTCATAGGGGATGTCTTATTATTACTTTATCTTACTATATATCGTAACCTGAGAGAATCCTACCACCAAACGTGCTCGCCCTTTCAGCTGTGGGAGCGTTATAATGTTACGATCAATCCCTCTATTCGTTAGTAAAAAGTAGCCCAATAGCTGGCGGTAGGTGGTGTTGACTAGCTGCCTTTCCTCTAGTCACTTCTAAACTGGGAATGGCTAGCGCAGATAGCCCTCGTTAGCTTTGCGCGAAATTCAAAACAAAACGTATTATATGCCGTATTACTGGAAGATCGATGAACTTTTCTGTCGAGAGTTTTGCCCAAGCAAATCAACAAAGGGGCGGAGCGTGGCTTCGTGCTTGGACTTTATGTCTTTGGGCAAGATACTTTACTCCAACTGTTTCACTCTACCTAGCTGAATGATGGGAACCAACTAATGGAGTGACTCCCGTCCATAATGAATATGTCACCATTCTCATTCGCTTGTTTCAATAAAACCAGAGTTCAGGGGGGGGGGGTTCCTAAGTACCGTCTCAGCGTAGGAGGGATTTGACCTTGAACAATGTATGTCGTCTCGGCAAACCAGGGATTTGACCTAATACAATCTAGGTGCTGTCTCGACATAGAAGGGATTTGACCTTTTGAAACAGTATAATTGCTGTCTCTATAAGGGCTTTCAAGTGAAAAATTATACCCATCTTTCAAAAGGATTGAACCTTAACCGGTGACTTTTAATGACATTTCGAAGAGAATGCCAAAAACAAAACTATTTCTCGAAACAGTGATTTAGCTGGTAAAACATTTTATAAAATTTCATGGGGTAATTTGCAAATGTCCAAGTTTCGCGATTTCAAACTTCCTTTTGAATTTTTAAAAGTCATTTAAATCTTAAAAATAATTATAGTTATTGAAATAACTGAATTTGTACATGATATAACCAAAACTTTGGTGGTAAGCCCATACTACACGGGTCGAAGTGGATTTTAAGTGATCGTTTACAATATCTTAAATAAGTGACTGTTGAACTGGTTGGACTCTGTTGCCATTTCTAGGATGACGTGGTGCCATAACTCTTAAAACAATTCTAAAAAAATTTACTGCAAGTGGAAATTTTAATATTTTCATTCTTAGAAACGTTGTGAGATTCGAGGGGTAGTAGATGGTCCCTCAAATCATTCAATATCACTTGGAAATGCCCCCACAGTGGTATGTCTGCGGTATGACTTACAACGCTAGAAACCAGGTTTCGATACCCGTGGTGGGCAGATCACAGATAGCCCTTGTGTAGCTTTGTGCATAATTAAAACAAACAAACACTTGGTAATAGCCTTGTAACTGTTTATTTGCTTAGAATTTTGATGCAAATCTACACAAGGGTAATCTGCTCATCACCGTCCTTAATGTTCAACTGACAAGACTAGAGCAAGGGCAGCTACTTTTGAAATTTGACTGTCATTCATATAGTGCATCCATGTTCACAAGGCTTAGAGCAGGTGTTTGTGGCAACGGAACACGTATCGTTATTCCTCAGATTCACAGTACAATAACAATGTAACCTATTATATTCTTATGTTTTATGCTTCAGTATTCTGTTATATAAGTTGTAAAAAAATGAGAGCAACAAAAAACGTTTTTGATTAAGGATATTGTTTATAAAAACTTTCTATTTAAGAATCTAATGTTATTGAATATCTAGAAATTAAATACTGGGATAATATAACGAGAATATGATGCTTTAATGAACCTAAATGTATTATATTTCATTTGTTATAATCTCTTGCATTAAATAAAAGAAATGTGTCATTTATTAACTCACTAATTTAAAAGGATTGCGTTTAATGCTTATACATTTATATTAATTTATACAGGTCAGAAGTTTGCCTTTATGGAAGAAAAGGTCATGCTTGCGAATGTGATACGGAATTTTCATATAAAGTCATTGGATCAGCGAGATAAACTCCATATAAAGATGGAGATGGTACTGAGATCCAAGAATGGATTACGAATCCGCTTAGAAGAGAGAAACAAGATGTGATCGAAGACAAGAGTTACATTTTTTTTTTAATTGTAAACACTTAGTGTATGTAAACTTTATGGAAACGCCAGGTGATAGGTATTGTGTATTTTCAGATGAAAGTAATTTACTGAGTTTATGTAAGTTGTAAAAATATTCAGATATTAACATTTACGGTATTTAATTTCAACTCCGGAAATATAAAAATGTAAGGATAGTGTTGCTTGACGTACTCTGAATACTCGCGATTTTACTAACTTAGCTTAGGTATAACTTAAGTGAACTATTCTAGTTATTTGGGCAATGCACTTGGTGTTGTATTGTAAATAACTATTATTCTGTAAAAACATGTAAGTAAATTAGTAATAGGTAAATGCAACTGAATAAAACTATAAGTGTAAAATTGTTTTAAAATATTTTAACGGCCTGTCTTCACATGTTCAGGTCCGTTACACGTTTACTGGAGAAAAAAAAATAACATTTCTAATGTCAGTTCTCAATCGCCATGTGAAAGGAGGTTTTAAACTAGTTTATTTTAATCGAATTTCAAACCTTAAATTATCGAGATATCCCGAACACTCAGAAAACCAGTATGAGTATGTTATGCACCTAACTGTTATTAGCCATAGGACTTTACCAGAACGTTGATAATTCTTGTGAAATATTAAAACCTTTTTCGTCATAATCAGTTGGTAACTTATGCAGCGAAACAGCATTTAATGTTGGTGCAGAATATGTCCATATCGGCTAAAATCTGATTATTATAATTATCGAAGGCAGAATGTTTTATAAGATATCACTAAATACATCAGTCAACATTTAACTATGATATTGGTAAAAATGCAGTTTTCTTGAAATATTTACGTCTAAAAAATCAAAGTACTCAAGGTAGATTCTAAAAGTTTACTCTTATAAATATGTCCAGAAGGTGTTAAACATTGGGAAGACTAAAATTACCATTATTCATGATATCTCTCGTTAAAAACTAAATAGAGTCAAATTTTATCTGCTCAATACACTTGTATGGAAGTATAGGGAAGAATTATTAACGTTTTTGCTTTTGCTCACATCTTACGTCAAAATATTTCAATATCATTGGCTATTTAGCGAGAACAGTGATTAGAAAATAATACTTATAATAATAATATAATGTGCAGTGAATCCTCCCCCACATTTATTTCATTTTTAGGATAGTTTTTTATCATTTTTTCAATTATTAAAAATGTACCCGAAAACAAAAATCGATAATAAAAAAGTATAAAATCAGTTTTTTTTCTGACAGTCTTTAATCGTGATGTAAAATGAAATCAGTTTTTCTTATAGTCTTGTGGTAAAATGATCTGCTGATTTAGCTTGTTAACTGACAATTAACATAAAACCATTAAGTAATGAGTATTATCGCCAAGATGCACGAGATTTTTATATTATCCTGTGACGTAGGTGAGATCAGTGGATTATTATTATTACATCCGTTATTTTGTTTTTCAGGTCGAATTATCAATTTATTCCAATAAGCCGTTACTAAGCAGGTAGCTCTGAAAACTTGCTTGATAACAAATTCAAAGTTATTGCTTTATAGTAGGAGTAATTATGGGTTACCCGTAAAACATTAGATAACTTTCAGGATTAGGTAATACGATACATTTAAAAAAACAATTGTGAAGAATTGTAGGATATGCATAAGACATGCTAGTAGACAGTATGCCAGATTTTAGAGAACGCCGTGTATGTCATAAACGTAAACCTTTTGTACGATCATTGCGAGTATGTTATATATTTTTTAGAATGGTATTAATCTGTTTTAAGAAAGTATAATCGACTTATCTTATGCTAAGATAAGGTAGGCACTCTCGTAACTGTACTGCTTATATATAAATATATATAAAATAACTATATGAAAAACAAGTTTAATAGGCTGTTTTTTTATACATATACAACAGAAAAAAACGTGCATAGTTATATGTATCGCATTTACCAATGTTTCACACCATGTCCATAATATATAGTTTGAATGAATATCACAGCAACACGTTCAAATTTCTTAAATGTATTCTAAATAGATCATTTATATAAATCGCGTAGTTGTAATGGGAGAACGTGATATTTTGAATACCTTTAAAACGTGTTTTATTAAGTTTTTACGTGCTTAATTTTTTACTTAGAAGCAGGCTATAGTTTCGTTCGCATTCTTTACTTTTAGCAAAGGGTCTTTTAACTAATTCGCAATTTTTTAAAATTCGCTTTCGTATTGCATTCAATCGAAACATGACTGTTTTATCTACGTTGTAAATTTCAGTTTGTAATTTATAATGAAAGTTTTTAGACTTCAAGCGAAACTTGTTATGATGCTCATTAAAATCAGTTGTTTTCGAAAACTAAGAATTTTGTAAAAAAAGAAAAGAAAAACTCGAGACACGTTTCCTTTATTCATTCTTTGATAAATTTTGTTTCAGTAACTGGCTTTATGACGTCATATGGCTTGCTCTTGATAGATATATGGAATGTATGACTTTCAAAAATGTCATCATGTTTTTACTAAAAATATTCACTAATGGTTAAAAATTACATAAAAAATATTCTAATGTAGGTATACTTTATGTCCAAATAAAAGCGTGATTCCCGTTTTTGTGATATTTTCAGAAAATCCGTTTTCTCTTAAATCACATTATATGTATGTTCTAAAACGTTTAAAAAATGAGACAGTAGAGTTCACATCGTGGTGATAATTTGTCTGTAACCAGTCTAAGTGAAAAATATTTTAACATCACAAGATGGCGCCACAATCTGTACAAAAGAAAGAAAGAAAACAGTTTGCTGTTTTAATATTTTTAAGTTAAGTTGTCTACATATTGTAACTTTAACATGGTCCTTGTTCATCTGTCATATGTTTGTTTGAAGTTAAGCACAAAGCTAAACAATGGGCTATCTGTACTCTGCCCATCACGGGTATCGAAACCCGGCTTCTAGCGTTGTAAGTGCGCATACATATCGCTGTGCCACTGGGGGGGGGGAGTAACAAAGGAATAAAAAGTGCATATGCATAAGGTTTTAACTCTTAAGGACAGTTTCTATATTGTTCAACAAACCGATAATTTTTCAAAGCCAATTTCTCTGTACTTAAATAACTTTTACGTATTGGTATATCAGCTGTATAAGGACGTCATTAAGAAACAAGATGAATTATAAAATGATTAATAATCTGCGCGAAAATAAGAGGGTTAGAAGGTTAAAACCGTTTTTACTCTTGTATAAATAATTATCAGAAATGTTCTTCAGAATATTCATTCGAAAGGAAAGGGGTGTAGAATTATTTACATGTCTTTGAACCAATAAATTACATCGCACCTTAAATTTGCTTTTCAAAGATCTAACCCACAGCTATGTCCAATGACGGGTTTCTAACGAAATCATGTTTATTTTGTTACGAATAATGAAGTCCCCCGATGGGACAGCGGTAAGTCTTCGGATTTACAATGCTAAAATCAGGGGTTCGATTCCCCTTGGTGGACACAGCAGATAGCCCGATGTGGCGTTGCTAGAAAACACACACACACACACACCAACAATGAAAATCAAACTTGAACAATGCAGAGAACAAGAAAGTACACGACTGCAGCATTCCTACAGATCACCTTACTCTAGTGAAAGACATGTTCAGTGAGGCTTAAAGAAAGTAGTACAAACGATAGAAGTTCTACAAAACTGTAAGCGTACGAGGACCAAACTGAACTGCTTATAGGTTGCTGTGTGTTTAACATACGATTTAAAATGCAAATATTGTTTTCCTATCAAATTCCACGAAAGCCAATACTTGGATAATTCTGAATAGTTTCAAATAGTGGCAGTAAATAATTAGTTTATAATTATTGACGAGTTAGAAGTGAGGACTCGTGAACAAACGTGGAGTTCAGTACATCAGATGTATGTGAACGTTTGCCATATCAAAAGTTCCAACCAGCATCAGCTTGTAAGTCTTTTTAAAATAATCATTAACGTTTCATTTTAAAACTTTTTGAGCCCAGAAATTCGTTCAGTGTTTTTTTTTGGCCCATTCACATTTTTTTTATTCTAATCCGTAAGGACTTTACATTGACATATTGTTTTAGTTGGAGAACTATGTTACGTCTCTGATCGTTAGTTAATTTTCCGTAAAAATTCTTTCCGAAGAAACTTTAGCAATACAAGTCCTTTCTTAAATAAAACTGGTTTATTCTTTCTGAATACAACTTTACAATACACTTAATTTCCACAGTCACGCTATAACAAACGCTATAATTCACAACGAACGACTCACGTGCTCGCTCGACTCAATTGTCAGTCTCTATCTCTGTCTGCAGTTCAATTACATTGTTGCCGTCAGTTCTTACCGGTTTATATAAACAAGACTACCGCATATTTAGCAGGCTCTCGAGATTTCAGGAAGGGAAGTGAACGTTCGAGAAGCGCATGACGTGTTACTAGCGTCACGTGACCTCCGCTGTCGTAACACTGCCCCTTCCTTAGTATTGTTCGTCCCTAACAATAGCCACTTATATTAAACCAATAAACAATTAACAATAACTTAATTAAATGTACAGAATTTACAAACACAAAATTAAAATTCAACAAAGTCTCTTAATTTTACGGGACGTATCTTCTTCTGTACTGGTCTCCGTCTCGTTGGCTTCTGCTTCATGTGGGGTTCATCTGCTTCATCGGGAAACGTCCTATCATTGGTAACAGTCACATCAGTGGTAGTAACTTCATCAAGGGCTTCACTGTTTCCCTTCTCAAAACCGAATAGAGTTTCTTCTTTGACAGTGGCTTTTTCAGGTGACACGTCTTCAGCAGCGTCATTTGTTCCATTGTTCACTTCGTCCCAACTGAAATGTCCTGGACCGTGATAATGCCAAAGCCTGTTGGCATGCACCACCTTTGGCTTACCTCGCCAACCACATTTTATCCGGCTTTCGTAAAATGTAAAACAAACTAATCGAGATATGTAAAATTAATTTTTGTGTGCATTATATATATAATA